CACAATACGAGTAAATAATGCGATTGTGAAACAAATTGCACCATTGTTTTTAATCGCCTGTTTTTCACATTGTTATCTTATAATATGTATCCTCTATAAATAATTTGAGTTAGAAGATTACTGGGTTCCTGTACTGTAATATATTTCTCGTAATTCATATAAAATATGATTCAATAGATGCAGAACCGGAAAGGAATATTGGAATTATAGGATTATAGTGTGTGAATAACCTTATAAAATAAAATTATAAATGTTACTTTTTCAGCGATAATAGTATTATTGAATTGGACGATATTAATAAAAGAAGCCACCTATCTAAGCATTATAAGTACAGAAATTAAAGAGAGAAGGCGGGTTTAATCAAAACAAAGTGAGACCAACAAAAATCAGAAATAACACAGACAAAAATAAAGCAGACGTAAAATGACAAAGAAACCATCAAACAATTTTTTTAATAAAGAATGGGAATTTTTAAACATATAACAGAAAAATTAACAGGATGGGTAGACTATTTAGAAGACTTAATGGCGAAGAGAAAATAACAATCACAGAAACACAGAACCGAAGAAACGAAAATGGTCAATAAGAGATACAAGACTCGAAGGAAATAATAGTTTGAATTACTTTAACAGTAATACAAAAGTAAAAAAGAAGATTAAAGGAATAATGTACTAATTTGACCAATTTAAAAAAAGGTCATAGCTTAAGCTGAAAAAACTTAACTGCAAATAGTATTCAAAGCATTAGCAAATGTATTAGAAAAAGGCTAAACATTTATATATAAATACAATTTATAGTCTTTAACGAAATAGGTTGACGAGGGGAGAACTGTTACTGTCTTAAGTTGTCATTCAGAATTATGTATGTGTTTTTAATTTGTTAATTTCTATATATTCTAATAAACATAGTTTAAGGTCTTAATTTTGGATGTAAATAATTTGAAATTTGTCATTAAAAGAATGATTATGATCTAGAAGGTAAAGTGCGTATGTAGAATCTGTTTTCCTATTATCGAAAACCCGTTTATGTTCTGCCATAAGTTTGTTAAAGGTTCTACCAGTTTGACCGATGTAAATTTTTGGGCAGTCTTAAGCTTGTATACACCACTGTGTAAGTTTGGCTTTTGTTATTTTTAATATATTTGCTGTGTTGTTGTTTGTTCTAGAATCTGGTGTTATTCCTTTCTTTTTTATGTGTTTGGCTATTTTTGTTTTTATTTTGCGAGACATGCCATTACATTATACTTTTATTATTCACTCGCATTATCCTTTCCCATTTGTTTTAAACGTTTCAACGTTTGGTATTGCTTTTCCCAAGTAGCTGTAGCTTCCTCCGTGGTTATTGTTAGTTACTGCCCTGGAAACCATCAGGGTCTTCTAACTCTAATGCCACAAATTGGTCACATTGCTCCTGTAGTGATCCTTTCTTAAGTTAAGATGGTCCTTTTATAACTTGACTGGACGTACTGAAGAGGACCAATGGTCAGAAATAGGTATATTATACGGTTGCCTTCCATCGATATATCCTTTTTGGTTCTTTGTTTTGCTAGACATACCATTACATTTTACTTTTATATTTGAATATATATATATATATATATATATATATATAATATATATATATATATATATATATATATTCGGTATTCGTTCGGTTCATTTCTAGTCGAGTCTCACAAAGTCCTCCTGAAAATTGCGAAGGCATGAAATACGTATTATAGAGGAATGAGAAAACTCGAATTTAAAAGATATCTCTCTCTCTCTCTCTATATATATATATATATATATATATATAATATATATATATATATATATATATATATATATATATATACTCTATATAAATATTTATTTTAATGTTTTTACTCTATGTAAAGAATAAAATTGTTGGCAATTTGCATTTGCAAACTGACCGTGGCCGGTCTCAGATTTCGTGGAGGAGGAGCTCTGAACTGAGTAGGGGCTCTTCTGTACTTCACGGAAGACAGACTGGGCGGGGGATATTATCACGGATCAACTGAGGATATGACATTAGGCAGCAATAATGTCATTACTAGATTAAGGCTGTAAGAAGTAAAAATCCTGTAGGCTTAGTTCCAGATACTCACAGGCGACACTCACACTATGAGTTAAGCGGCTGTGATACTACGATATTAGGGTACTCTTTTGTCCTGGAGTTTGAGAAATCGGCTTCGAAGGCGGAGGAACTTAGACTTTTAGTGAACGGCATAAGGATGCAGAAGGCAAGTAGAAACCACTGCATTAAAGACTTCTTGTAAGTATCTCTAGTACAATTATCATGGTGATAAAAAACTTTAAGATTCCGACTACTGATCATGAAAATAGGAATTCAAGATCCGGCAGGGAAGGTAAATCTAGCTCAAACCGTGAGACCTTCCAGGTCGTTATTAAGAGAAATCCTTACGAACCAGACTACATTCTAGATGATGGATCTCTAAGAATATTGCAAACAGCCATAAAGATAGGTACATGGAACGTTAGAACAATGTACGAGGCGGGAAAAATCTATAATGCCATTCAAGAAATGGAAAGACTCTCGATTAGTATTATGGGAATAAGCGAAATGCGCTGGACAGATACAGAATACTGAGTTATCAAAGATCACAAAATATTCTACTCAGGAAATCTTAAAAAAGAACATATAAATGGAGTGGGCCTAATTATGAATAATAAAATCGCCAATTGTGTCAGTTACTTTGTACCTGTATCAGAAAGGATGCTCTTAGTTCAGCTAAACACAACTCCCATAAAAACAAACATTATTCAAGTATACGCTCCTACATCGGACGCCCCAGAAAAAATTATAGAAGAATTTTACAATGACCTTACTAACGGGGAGACCGTTTGATTGAATTTGCAACTGAAGAACAGCTCGTAGTGACAAACACCTTTAATGATCTTCCTCCAAGACGACTATATACGTGTAAATCTCCCCAGGATACTCTAGATCACACAGTACGAAATCAAATAGACTATATTCTTGTTAACAAACGATTTAGAAACTTTATAACATCTGTTAAAACGTACCTGGAATCCGACATAAATTCGGACCACAATCCACTTATCGCCAAAATGAAACTTAGTTTAAAGAAAGTTCAAAGATCAAAAAATTACGAAATATAATATTAACCAACTGAAAAATAAAACAGTAAAGGAAAAGGTACAAAAACGCCTAAAAGAAAAAACTTGGGCTCGTACAGAAATAGATAACACAGATGTAGAACTAGAAAATTTGCACAAAGTAAGTCAAGAAAGAACAGAGAAATATTTTAAACCTGAAAGAACAAAGAAAAAGGAATGGATGACGGAGGAGATTCTATGTACTATGACAAAAAAACAGAAGAAACGCTAAAGATAATAAGAATTAATACAACAACATAAATAACGAAATTAAAGGGGTATTAAAATAGCAAAAAAATTGGTTTAGCTCGAAGTGTACAGAGATAGAGTCATTACAACGAAAACATGATTCATTTAACCTCCATAAAAAAAGTAAAGAAGCGGCAGGCTTATATAAACACAAGAACACTGAATTCCTGACAGATAATCAGGGAAACATAGTACTGGAAATAGATCATAAAAGGGATATTTGGATTAAATACGTGGAAAAAACTTTTGAAGATGTACGAAGTAACACTGGTATCACAACAAACACCAATTGCGAATCTGGACCACCATTTACAGTCGAAGAAGTAAAATATGCCATCAAAAGCAGCAAAGATGGTAAAGCAGTAGGCCCTGATAATTTTCACTAAGAATTATTAAAACTTATGGACTATGATGGCATAAAATGGTTGACAAATATATTTAACAATATATATGATACAAGCATAATTCCCCAAAAATGTTTAGTGTCAATTTTTATAAATCTTCCAAAAAAACCCAATGCGAGAAAGTGCGAAGACTATAGAATTATAAGCCTTATGAGCCATTAACTTTCTACTAAAACATTTCTAAAGGTCATTCACAAAAGAATATATACAATATGTGAGGAACAACTAACAAGAACACAATTCGGATTTCGTGATGCTCTGGGAACACGGGAGGCCCTTTTTGCTGTACAGGTGCTATTTCAGAGATACAGGGATGTGAATTATGACATATACGTATGCTTTATAGATTACCAGAAGGCATTTGACAGAATAAAACATGACAAATTAATGACTCTAATGCAAGAAATTGGAATTGACAACAAAGATTATTCTTAGAAACATTTACTACAATCTAACGGTCAAAATCAAAATAGAAGACCAGATAACTGATAAAATTGCAATAGAGTACGTGGAGTACGACAGGGCTGTATTTTGTCTCCATTGTTGTTCAATATTTATTCTGAATGGGTATTTAAGGAAGCTTTAGACGGTTGTGCGATTAATAAATGGTGAATGGTTGAATAACATTAGATATGCAGATGACACTATAGTTTTTGCCGATGGTCTGAATGACTTAAAGATAATAATAAATCGCATAACAGAAGTCAGCAACAGATACGGACTAGCTCTTTACATAAGGAAAACCAAATTTATAACAATTAGTCAAAATTTACGAAAGTCGTATAACACGACTACCACTGAACTGTTCCGCGCTGCAGTAAACAAAATAAAGATAGCCGTGATGATCGCCAACATCCGGAACGGATAGGCACTTTAAGAAGAAGAGGAAACTGCTGATGTATTGTATGTATTGTCGGAATAAAGGTATTCCTAAAATTTTTTGTAGTTTTAAGCAAGCACGGATTTTGTAGTTAAATTACATCATCGTCATCGATGTCTTTTCATTATCGATGATAGTCTTTTAACTTTATGGTTCGTGTTTAAATAGAATTCGGGACAAGCGTAGACTGATAGATTATTTGATAATTTTTGCCTTGAAGTCAACTTCACAAAATCATGAAAAACCTAATAACAATATTAACAATTAAAAAATAGAGCAAATAATTTCCATAGAAAGAATTTATTTTGGAAGAAGTGATCTACATACCTGTGGAGGAACCGATAATAAAAACTTCTTTCCTTTTTCCCTTAAAGAAGTTATCAGGGCTTGCAATTCGTCTTTGTAGCTAGTGCCATTAACACTTTCTGCCACAATTCCCATTAATAAGTTTTCGTCTATGCAAAAGCTGTCTGCCTCACTCTCTAAGACAAAATTTGAAACTAATGTGGATACATTCAAAAATTGGGCATTTTTTCTGAAAATAAATAATAGAATTTAATTTTGATTTGTAGTAAAAAAACCATATTACATTATATATATATATATATATATATATATACATATATATATATATATATATATATATATATATATAATATATATATATATATATATATATATATATATATATATATATATATATATATGAAACCTAGAGCTAAGATTAATATTATTACAAAAATTAATATCAAACTCACCAGTCTTCCGGGTTAAACAGCGTCGATATCCATTTTGCCGAACTTTCGACATCCTCTCTGACGTCTTCCTCAGGGCTTCCGAGGACTCAGTCTCACGAGCCCCCAGACACTACTACACTGTTTACTGATCACTGCACTACTACAGTGCACTGCAAACCCCGGAACTGGGGTAACCCGGAAGACTGGTGAGTTTGATATTAATTTTTGTAATAATATTTATCTTAGCTCTAGGTTTCATTGTACTAACCGCGGAAATCTTTCCGAACATATACATACATATATATATATATATATATATATATATATATATATATATATATATATATATATATATATATATATATATATATATATATATACATATAAATATATATATATATATATATATATATATATATATATATATATATATATATATGTATATATATATATATATATATATATATATATATATATATATATATACGATTGAGTTGCGCACCCAGAAAAAGGTATGGAGTGTTAAATTTACAAAATAAAACCTAAGCTTTTAATATTGCTCCAAAATAGTTTAAATTGTTATTATGAAAGTTTATATTATGCATTAGCATGTCAATAAAACCCAAATAGCAAAAAATGTTTTTCCCGATTTTTTTAGAATTTAGAGGGCCGCCAAACCTTCGCTCCCCCAACTTTTGTGGAGTATAATATTGGATTCAATACGGGGTGTCAATAGAATGAAATATCTACTTTACAACTTTTTTGTTTTCTGGAATTTGTTTGTAAAATCATCAATTTAGAAGATACAGCCACTTTTTAACTGGAAAGCTAAAATAATACAATTATACAGACATAAAGTATTATTATTCGAATAGACAAATTGTTGATGTGTTCTCTATGTTGATAGAGATTTGACTGTGAACAAGTTTTGTTTGAGTTAGTTAAACTAAAAATTAACAATTACAGTTTTTTTGAAATGGCAGAATTACAATCTAAATTTAACAATAAATTTAATTTTAGAAACTATATATATATATATATATATATATATATATATATATATATATCTATATATATATATACATACATATAGATATATATATACATACATATAGATATATATATATATATATATAATATATATATATATATATATATATATACATATATATATATATATATTTACATCCTACTATCCTTAAGGACTCAAACCATAGCGCAACCTTACGGCCTCTCCTATTTCCAGGTGTATATAATATTTTAGTCGTCGTGTATATCGAAACAGGTAACAAAACATTCTTAATGCCCTAGTTTCTATTTGGATAAAACAAAATTTTACATATACTCTCCCCCTCGGTTCTCCTATCATTACCACCTCGTGCCGATTTCCGATTTTACAGCCTCATCAGTATAATTTTTATCCGTATTGTGGTCTTGGGGCCTCATATACACGACCTTATAGACTCATACGGTGTTGTCAATTCGCTCACTGCGTATTTCGATAATTCGGGGATTCCCCTCTTTATTTCCTATTTAAGCCAAGAAAGTTATTACTCATTTCGCGATTGTTTAAGTAATGGATACCTCAAAATAGATTTATGATCTTAAAAACGGCAAAAGTATAATATGTAAGTAACCTATATTTTAAACAGAAGCTTATAAATGACTAAATATTGTTATGATTTCTAAAAATTTTTGAACCTGATATTTATTGAAAGAAATATAATAATTTTGGTTATTTAAGTCAATGTAATACTTTTTTAAGAACATTTAACACAACTGGACACAAATCAATGAGATACCATATTCTTACAAATATAAATTAATAATACCAGCAAGTATTAGATGTAGGGAGCCTGATCTATGCTAACGTAGGGACTGGCCACAATTTAGTTTTGGAAAAAAGTCATCTTAATTCGATTAAGAATCATAAACACAAACTACCAACACTAGAAACTAAAATTAATAAAGACAATTTTGACAAAAAACTATATCAAAGTAGGCTAGATCAAATAATTTAACAACAAAGCGTTACATGCGATGAAGATAACTAAGTTAGTTGGGAAAAGAATTAAAACAACATAAAGCAAACAAGCCTCTAGGAGGAATAAAAATAAACACAAACTTAAATGAAAGAAAACATACACTATAATGTTTACCCAAAGTATAGAAATATATCTGAAGGAAAAAGAATGTTTATATAAAATATAGATCTGAAAGAACGCAGGGGACTTATGAATATAAGGGAGTTCGTAACACGGCACATGGGCAAATCAGGCCGAAGAAAACAATAAAACAGTAAACGTTTATAAGAGGGACATATAATAGAAATTAAGGAATTAATATAAGATATCAACATAAATAAAAAAAAATGGACAACATAATATTAGACAAATAAACCGAACAAAGGAAACTGAACATGCTCTTGAAACTCCCGATATAACATCAAATGAGTTAACGCAAATGATAAAAACATGAGATAAAAGAAGTCATCATAAAGTTAAAAAACAGAAAAGAAATTAATAAAATATGGCTTATACAGTTAACCATAATATTTAATAAAGGGTTAAGGTCATCAACAATACATGAGGAGTGGAGAACGAGTATTATGTTTTTTCTTTTACAATAGGTGTAATGTGCGACCATAATACTCTAAAGGAATTGTTAAGTACTATTTTGAAATTAATATTAAAAATAATATCAAATAATTTAAAAAAAAGATTAGTATACCAGACTAACAACAAGTTTCTTGTGCAGAGAAGTATATAATAATATAATGAACTAGCCTAACTATGTTTGGTTAATTTAGAAATGTCCTACGACACAGTGAGACTATTGGATGCGATATACATCTGTACAACAGATAATCCAGATTACTTGATATCATAAAAATAATAGAGAACCGACATGTAAGAAACAGAACCGAAGTAAAAGTTCAAATAGAAAAAAAAAAAAGAATGTATAAACACTACAACTGGAATCAGATATGGAAGTCCAGTTGTAATATTTATTCTTTTATATTTAATATAGTATTGAGAGGTTTTAAGCTAGTAAAAATAAAAAAAACAACCGGCAAGCAAAAAGATAAAGATAATATGCGATGTTTATGACGAGTTTTTGATAACAGAGAACGAAGATGATCTCCAATAAATACTACACCAGTCTAATATCAAAGCCAAACGATTTAATATGAAAATTTTATCACTTATTATGAAAAGTTTAGTATTGTCAAAGGAACCAACAAGGTGAAAGAAAGTTCAGATTGAAAACCTACTGATAAAACAAGTATTAAAATTTAAATATATGGGAATACACTTATCGACCAACAAAAATATTGAAGAGAAAGTAAGGGGATAAGTGCTACAATGACACAATACGGTGAAACAGATACTAGATCTAGACAAACAAGCATAAATAAACAAATCTGTAATCCGACCAGTCTTGACATATACAGTAGGAACAAGATCAGATACAAGCACAGATATTTGGAGACAAATGAGATGAGAATACTAAGAAAAATGACCGGAAAAAGACTATTAGACAAAACAAGAAGCAATGATATGGGAAACCTATGCAGAATAAATAATATTAATCTATTTGTACAGACACAAGCATAGATATTTGAAGACAAATGAGATGAGAACACGAAGAAGAATAACCGGAAAAAGACTTATTAAACAGAACAAAAAGCAATGACATAAGAAACTATGCAGAATAAACAATATTATTTAATTGGTACAGGAAAGAAAAAGAAATTGAATCTATTATATTAGCAGAATGGTAGAAAATATCATAGTTAGATTAGCCCTGGAAATAAAGAGATAAAACGAAATTATCCACACGAATAGGAAGAAAACGGGCAATTTGCCTATATAAAAAAAGAGGAAGAAGACATTATAGTTAATTGAAAAGTTACATTAATATTACATTTTTAAGAGGATGCAATTATCTTTTTTGATGTGTGAAGTGTAATAATGTGGAATATAAACTTAAGTTTAAGTTTGTAGGGTCGCCATTCTTGTCCCTCGGTCACCATCTTTTAACTTTTTTCTGGTCATTTTACAATAAAATTACATTCAATCAATATTATAGGGGGTTTTTCGAAGAATAATTTTTACTACAAATTTGTTTAATTTCATTGATTTCTTTGGATTTTAGAGAACTCCAATGTTCATGAATACTCGTAAGAATACGATAAAAACGATTAGGCTTAGTTTTCTAGTATAAGTATTTATATTTTTTATTTATACAATTTATTATTTTGTTAACATTGTTTTGTGATTATTCGTTTATTATCTACTTTTTCCCGACAATGTATGAAGTAAAGTTTGAAGGCGCGTTTTTAAGTGTTATTCCCATTAGGCTTAATCCACAAACAATTTCTAAGTGAGATAATATTAAGCATAACTATATATTTAAGAAGTTGTTTTCCAGCTACTGTTTGTTACTTTTCTTTGATAGTCGAGGCTGTGTTCCTAATTCAGTAGAGTTAGAATTGGCGTAATTGTGGGTAATTCATTTTCAAATTCTTAGAACCTTTTGATTAATTTTGATATTTCCATGATATTATGCAGGTTTCAGCAGAACAATTAAGGCACACTTTAGAGCATTTGAGGTCTGCGTTTTGGCAACCACACATACTTTCACAGTTTGCCTTGCATCTGCAGAAAATTTATTTTAGAAGTTCAAGGGAGCTGGAGTTTTGAAAGTTTTGATTGGTATCCAAATTTTTTTACGTTTTTTTAGCCCCAAACTTCAGGATTGCAGTGTTTTCTGCTGATAAATTCTAAGACTTTCG